ATTCCTATTCCTATTCTTATTCTTCTCCTGACCCCGTAAACAATTTTATCTACTGTTCGTGTTCTGATATATTGGAGATTGGGGTCGTACTGAGATATCCGAAGTTGGTCAGTCGGTAGAAATTAGAGTAGCCATCCGGCCGTCCACAATAGAACGTTAGAATTTTTCTATGTATATCACGTCTGTAGCCGGCAGCCACACAAGTATTAAGTGAACTATAATTTACCAGGATGCTTTAAAGAGAAAATCATCAAAAAACAATTTTCTTAGCTTTCCAGATACATGTATTCGACTATCATCACCCTTTAAGAGTTTCGATTACAATCGAAGAGTTCGCAGTTGATTAGTGAGTCTTGTACATTTAAGGACAGCCATTAAGGTGATGTCAAGGACCACCACGGTTCATAGATGTCATTCTATTCATAGTAGATTGAAATTGATATCCAGTATATCGATTAACTGCTTAGTAAAGGAACAAACTTAGTGAAGTTTAGAGGCACATAACTGACGTTTGTGCAACTGTCCAATTACACTAGGGAGACTCGAATATTAATAGAGTTGCCAGAATTACCTACTTGAATTCTATTACACGGTTTAATTCGGTACAAGTGTGAAAGGGTCTGTGTTTGTTTTCTTATCCAAGAGGCGTCACTAACATTTAAATTTAGTAGCTTCAGCACTGGATGTGGTATACAGAACATAATATAAACAGCTATTTATGATGGGTTGTGAGTGTTGTAAACATTGCTCGTTGGGGCTATGATACGAATATATCAGTTCAGCAAGAAATGTCTTATCTCTAGATTGACTGCTATTATGTTAAGACATTCTATTATCTCTGAAGTATAATTCTGTAGTGATATTGGTTCTAACGACATGATCTTTGAGGCTGAACACAGAATAACTGAGAAAATTCACATTCAACACTCATCTGGGGGGGGGGTCAAGTCTAGTCTCTTTGATTTAGTTTGAGAAGGACATTGTCTTTGATAGATTGTGTAAAAGCCGGTGGTGGGTCTCTTGGACAATCCAATTATCTAGTTGATACATCAATAGATGAGGCTAGAACGGTTTGTTGAGGCAATGAGTTCCAATGACCGATAAAACATGAATGGACTTCGTAGTATACCAACAAATATTTTGAAAGCCATAAATAAATCATATCTAGCCCTTCTGTATCGCACGAATAATAAGCTTCTTTAGGAGTGTTTCTTGTCACTTGACAGCTCCAAAATCTAAAGCTTAAATGTGGCTCTTCAGACACTTTTTAATAGCCTACATATTTATTCAGGAGTTTTAAGCTTTTACGTAATATTAAAGAAATATGCTTCTAGCCAGTACCAAGCCTGGATAGACGAGAAGGGTTAGGTATAAGGTCAGTGTTGTCTTTATGGGCCCACTGTCTATCACGTAATCTATTCGCCAATCAAAATACGAATTATTCTGTTATACTGTACTAGACCATTGACGTTCGACCGGTCTGACTAGCCTAGAGTCCTACTGGTCTGTTGCTCGCCTAACCCGACCATCTGAGTCCAGAATGCCAACAACAGCCTCCACTATAAGAATCATCTACTTCAGACATAGTGGGTTTATATACTAAACAAACAGACCGCAACGCACCATAAAGAAGGAATAAGATTCATACACAATAAAGCCAAAAACGTGGCTGTGAACGTGGGAGGCAGTAGTCAATAAACTGAACATAGCTTAAGAACAGTAAATCGTACAATAATAATTTATAGATGAAAATAAAGCTCACAACAAGGTGAATTTAGATATACATAACTAAGCTACTGAACATGTATACCATAAGAATTTATACATAATATTAGTCCATTAATAGGTTTCAGACGTAACTCGTAATGTAATCTTCATAAGAATATAACAGTCAGCATCCCCGTTCCGTGCAAAACGACCCTACTAAAAAGGAACGCTAACCAGAAAAAATGAATCAAACCATTTAAGCTCTGCTATGGGAGTTGAAAGAAAAATTGTGACGCATCATGAAGATAGCAGAGGTTCTTCAGGAGTCACGAGGCTCATGCTCCTCATAACAACCAAGGAAACAATTTTTATGGGTACGTGGAACGTCCGAGAAATATGGGAGACTGAGAGGACGAATCAACTAGCAACAGAAATGAGGATATACAACATGAAGCTTCGAAGAATCAGTGGAACCCATTAGGATCAAACTGCACAGCAAAAGGTAGATACAGGAGAGATGCTATTGTACTTCGTTCATGAAGACAAAGATACTCAACACACTCATGAAATTGTTGTGCTGCTGTCCAAAGAAGAACTCATTAGATCCAGGATCATCAAAACACCCTTCAAAACAAAGATAAAGAAAATCACAATGGAGGTGTGGTGGACCAGACAGATATGAACGCGAAAAGTATAAACAAAGTTACTAAGGATCAATAGTAATATTAATATATACAGTTAATTGTTACAAATACAATAAAAATTAGGGACGTTACTTAAATTGACCAAGCGTTGCGTGTTCTGATAGTCCGGTAATGTTAATCCACAATTATAAATGCTTGATGATTCTGAGCAGGTTGGCGAACTCTCTAGTGATATAATCCCACGTAGAATGTGATATATTCCAATTAGTCTATAAATAATGATAATATTTGATTTAGACTTCAGCTAACTCAATCAAAAACGTAAATAGAACGAGGGATGCGTGAGTAGTAATGTATTTGTTAGCCAGCAAGAATATGTCACGCTATGTTAGAATCACAACGGAAAGTGTGTTCAAGGTCATTTACCAAAACAACAGTTACAGTCATTTAATGTTAAATATACATACAGTAAAAGGTTGACAAAATAAATACAAATAACATTGAAAACTATTTACAAAATAAGGTTGTCAGGCCTATCTCCACAGAGGTTATCCTATGTTATGCATCCATCAATGATATCAGAGACGACAGTGAGGATCAGTTCTACGAGAGGTTGCGATCGATCATAGGGAAGTGGCCAGGAAAAGACCTAAGTACCTGATGGAAGGCCTAATGTAAAAACACAATAGCAAACAAGCAAATGAAAATTAGCATTATACCCGACAGGCAGGAATACATGGGAGAGCTAGCAACGACAGCTTAAAAGGCTGCAGGAGAAGGAAATATGAAACAACTACGTGGCGCGACGAAGAATCTGGAAAGAAAATATACAAACAAGGAAGACCGGTCAGGGACAAAGAAGGCAAGCCGATCCAAGAACAAAGGAACAGGTGGGTGAAGCACTTTGAAGAATTCTTGAATAGGCCAGCTCTATTGAATCCACCGGAAGTCGAAGCAAAACCTGTAGACCTTATGGTTGTCGCTGCACCAACGATCGAAGAAATCAGGATAACCATCAAACAAACCACGAGTTGTAAACCAGCAGGACCTGACAATCTGCCAGCTAAAGCACACTAGTTAGACGTAAAAGTAACTGCAAAGATGCTCCACGTTCAACCCAAGAAGACTTTGGAGGATGAACTAATGCGGGCAGACGGGAAAGAAGGATAGCTCATGAAAATATCAAAGGAGATCTGAGAAAATGTGAGAACTACAGAGGAATAAAACTACTATCGGTACCTGGGAAGGTTTTCAAAAGAGTGTTGTCGAACCGGAAGAATCAGTAGGCGTCCAGCTTCGAAATCGGTAGGTTGGATTCCGTAAGGCTCGGTCATGTACAGATCAAATCGCGACAATACGGATCATTGTTGAACAATCAATTGGATGGAACTCGCTACTATACATCAACGTCTTTCACTATAAGAAAGAAATTAACAGTGTGGATAGGAGGACTTTATGGAACCTTGTCCGACACTATGGACTACTTAAGAAAATCGTCAACATCATCCGGAATTCGTATGACAGATTACGCTGCGACGTCGTGCATGGAGGACAGCAGACAGACTCATTCGAAGTGAGGACTGGAGTCATACAAGGCTATTTATTCTCACCAATTTGTATTTCTTGTGGTGGCCGACTGGATTATGAAAACCTCGACATCTGTGGGGGAGGGGAGGAACATGGAATACAATGGACAGCTCATGATCAACTAGACATTCTGAACTTCACAAATCACCTAGCTCTTCCACCATTCCATTCACACGAGCAAATGCAGGTGAAGACAATCACTGTAGTGGGAGACTCTACAACAGTAGGCCTCAACATGCCAAACTTCTTCGTAGTTTTGCAGTACTCATGCAAATATCAACATAAAAGCTTTCCAATTAGATTTCGTAACTTACAACATGATAAATTGGCATATACATGATAATCGATTGATATTCCCTCTTTCAACAATTACTATTTTCTGACTGAGATCATGAATCGATGGATGTTAGACAGCCGTTGGAAACCTGGAAGCAATAGATGGGTGTTTCGTCTTAGTATGGGACTCCTCACTTAACATCTAGAGCACTGGGCCGGCATCCAGCGGTGTTAATGTCTAACTTCCATCGATCTATGAATGACTGCGCAACCATTCGTCCATTGTCTGAGGTGGATACCTGTCTCTAACCGACAGAGATTGAGCCCCAGTGGTTACGGGCAGAATTCTCACACTTGAATAGCATACGGAACTTGAAACAACTTTCGACCAATATCGAAATCATAATCTTCAATACGAACGAAAAGACAGTCCAACTGTACGGAGCCGAAAGTTGCAGAACTAATACAACCATCATAAAGAAGGTACAAGTATTTATAAATAGTTGTCTACGCAAGATACTCAATGTCCGTTGACCGGATACCATCAGTAACAACCTACTGTGGAAAAGGATAAAACAGAATCCATCTGAAAAACAAATGAAGAAAAAACGTCGATGAGCGGATCGTTTTGTGTCATTTAATGGAAATAGTTCATTCGGTATGTACAATAAAAAGAATGTAAGGATATCTGAGGTATTCTGCAACCAATACGAACATCAAGAGTCCACCCTCCCGTCTTTCGAAAATTGTTAACAGAAAACATTGGAATTTGCGGTGGATTTAGATTGCTGCGGTGTTTTTTCGCGTTGGTTTGTTTCAAGTTCTTGGCAGAATACAGGCTATCTTTTTCCTTTTTATTTCTCATTTGAAATCCGAGTTTTTATCATTCACTGCTCAAGCTGAATCCTGACCAGAATGGTGTTGTTATCTCTTCAATAATGTTAATAAGTGCATCGATTTTTATATAAGAATAGCCTATGTACTATTTACACTTTATTTTTTAACGAAAGTTCTACATTTATCCTCAGCGAAATCTCCTTAGATTTTGCTTCTTGGAGGGTTTGGAAGAGTTACATATGTTACATATGTAACAACTGAATAGAATATTCTATTCAGTTGTACTTGCAGCCCATGATGGTTTTAATTGTCACGCTCAAGGAATTGAAATCTCAGCGTGTAAGAAACAAATAAGGATAAGGAACAAAAGGTTTTTGTTTGTGGTATTATGAACAGCAGTATGATATTGAGGACTAGCAATTTACGGCAATCAGTCAACTACGACGTAGGATCAGGTACATATGTGCATCGGCCCAAGCTGCCATACCTCATCGGTACAACAAGATGAACACCAGATTCATAGAAGTAGTTAATTCAGTGGTGGTAATATATAAAAGAAAGATTGCATATAAGGACATAGTACAGAACAAAGGAATTAGTTCGTAGAAAGAAAGATATGAAGCGATTTTAATCTCTTAGTTTAAGGGAAGACAGAGAGTGCACACACCGACGCCTTTGTGATCTATTCTGAGCCATGTCACTCAGAGTCTTCAACCATTGGTTACGATATTCACACGGACCCCAACCGAGTAGTCTGCATCTACTAACATGGCTCAGACCAGAAGTTATTAACTTCAAACACTGATGCTACGTTTTGGTTTGGCCTCCCCTAACGTTCTTCCAGCCATTCCCAACACCGGTTAGCATTGTGCGTTGCGGTAATCGGTGTCCAGGCATACGCAACAAGTGGCCCAACCACTTCAGTCGATGATGATTTACAACCTCATCAACTGATTTACCATCATTCCCTAATACCCTACACGTCTAACCTCACTATTACTTACCCGGTGATCCCAGCAGAGGCAAGCAATATTTTTAAGACATCTGTGGTCAAATGCCAGTAGCTTACGAGTATCTCCAACTCTTGATGGCCACGTTTCGCAGCCGTAAATTAAAACAGAACGAACTGCTGAGCAGTATACTTGTCCTTTTATTGATAGACGGATATCTCGCCTTCGCCATAAGTGACGTAAGTTGGTAAAATCTAAGTGAGCTTTTCGAATCCATTCTGAGATTTCGCCACACACCGACCCGTTAGGGCTGATCAGACTTCCAAGATAAGTGAAGTCGTCGACGCGTTCGACTACTTCACTCCCTATCCTTAGTCCAGGTGTTGATACAGACCAGTCCTGGAGCAAAAACTTGCATTTAGAGGGAGAGAAGCGCATTCCAAACATTCTGGCATTATCGCTCAGTGTTACCAAAAGACTTCATTTTATCAGCGTCTTCAACAAACAGTACTATGTCATCTGCGTATTCTAAGTCGATAAGTGGACCTCCTGGAAGGAGATCAATACCCGAGAATCCAGTCGGCGAAAACATTATTTCCACCAGTAGATCTGTGATGAAGTTAAACGGAAATGGAGAAAGTGGACAGTCTTGACGGACACTACTTCAGGTTGCAAAAACAGCAAGTTAAAGAAGTAGACATACAGGTTAAGCTGGTTTTCAGATCTTCAAAGACCTGATTTATTTACCTGACTTTAACTATGTCAGCTTATGCCTTACTGACGTCAGTAAGTTATGCTTATTACGCAAGTAAATTCATTGTACTTCTCCAATCAATATTCGTTTAATCTATTAAATGATGCTCAATGCATCTATGGTACTTCAGTCGATCATAGTTTACGATCTCATCAGTCGAAATTTGCCTGTTACTTTACTCCTAATATTGGCACTCAGCCTCATCGCTGATGGAAACTATGTTGTTTGGGTGTCCGAAGTCTATATTATAACCTGAAAATTGCAAATAGCTCCCTCACAAGTCAGGATAAGAAGAACAAAGATTTGATCGTTCAATTCATGTAACAGTCCTAAATATGATTGGTTTCGATTAGCTGTTTTCGAGATGGAATAATTAAGGAAGCTATGATCTTGGAACTTACGTTGGTGGGGGTGGATGATCAGTTATAACAGGATTTTCAACTACGTAATCATGAACAGTCGATGGCAGTGACCTGTGGTATATGATTAGGTCCAACTTCCAAATGTTGCTACCACAATATAACAGAATATTGTACTAAAATACGTAATCACCAAATTCGTAAAAATGTAGTGGGATACCAGAGTGAACGCTTATCTCATTGAATTGGTTGATTATCTTAGTCTTTTTATCGGGTAGCGATTACGGTTGTTTGTTTCTGCACTCAGTGCATATCTACTCCTATTGTCACAATGATCCTCTCAGTTATATCACAAATTATGTGAATCACTGAAGTTGCCCAACATGACTGAGTCAGTGGTCTGTTTTTTTCGCCATCGTTCTACTAACTCCCAAAGTCTCAAACCCATCATTCGTGACAGTTGTGAACAATTTTTTTTGCTTCTTGCTTTTCCCTTTTTTGTGTACTGAAATACCACAGGTGTCTTGCCAGATATTTTATGTAAAGCACGCCTAGATGAATTTCTTGGTGTCCATTTAAAGGGAGCTATGAAGACCGATCTTTTTCCCACAAGTGGCCGAACGTTGCTCAAAATCATTGCTCCTGTTTGAAAAAAATTGTTTGTTGTGTACTGCTCCTCACTAATCCTGGTTAGCGTTTCGTCCACCACATCTAACAGTTCCTCTGTATACTTAGTAAAAGGTACTAGTCAAGAATTAGTGACTCACTTTATAGTTGCAGCAAACAGTTGGAATCGTAGAGTCGGAAATAGCAGCTTAATGTTTTTCATCTTAGTAAAGTTTAATTCTTTAGAAGTTGGAGCCATTTTTCATAACCACCACGCTGACGTTTAGGAGGGGAAAATTCCAGTCTGAGCTACAATCACCGTATGCAGGGACTTGAAACATGCGATGATAAACATCCTGACCCATCCGAGTATTTACATTGGATAACCCAAAGATGACTATTTACTCGAAGTAGCTATTTATAAGTAAACTAGTTTTATTTTCCAGATCCGTGATCAGTGCTTAAGTAATGCTAATCAACTCTCCGTTTAAATATAAATCATTAGCCATTTGATCATGGGGACATGTGAATTCACATTTAATCGTGCTGTACATGTTATTCTAACCCTAAGCTCTCGATACCATTACGTTTCCATTTGATTTTATTATATTTAGAGTGTAGCATTATGAATCTACAGGATAGTGTACCAACTAATTAAATCTAGCCAACTAGTTATTTTTGACAAGGCGAAGAATTATTGGGGATGAGACGTACTCTCATATCGTCACGCTATAATTAGTCTTGATGGTTCAATTATGTGTTTCATTCTGCACAACTTTTTTATAGGTTTTCAGGTATAAGTCACTCATAATTTTATGCTTCAACCTTAATGTTCACAAGGGTTCGACATGCATCATTTTTGGAGGTAATCGGTCCGATCGTCGAATAATATGTTTGTATATATTCATGTAAAAAGTAAACAATATGTGCAGCTAATTACAATCCATAATAACGCGTCTCTTAGCTCAAGATTTTCTAACTGGTTAACTTTTTATATATTTAAATACATCACAAATATATTTTATATACATCATGATCTCGAGTTTTCTTTGTTTTAGGGACAGACCAATAATTTTTAAATGTCAGACACGGCATCTGAATATGCATGTTATATTCTAAATAAGTATTTTGGTGAAGCTGCCACAGTAAGCACACATATTCTGTGTGTTAAAGGTTCATCAAGTTTGTCGGAAATTTTAAGGAATTCTCACAAAAAGTTACACTCAAGTCGAGTTTGCAAGTTAGTCTTCTTGTCCTCATAATTATTAATAACTGCATTTTAGATGCCTTATTTCACTTATCAGACATTCCATGTTAACTATACAGAAAGATTCGATATTAAAATACAGTTTAAATTATGAACGAATATTTTTTGTGCCAAGGTAATGATGATATTAATAATTTACTGACTTGGATATTGTTCTTCATTTAGACTTCCATTGTTTTGCAAACTCGTGTTTCATTACTATGGCAAGGTTGCTGAGCAGGCTATGATTTATTTCTCTATGTTTGGGCGTGGATCTTTAAGTGACCTGTTAGTGTATTGTGTTAAAAAGCATCTTCATAGTAAACGTAATTTGGCAATTCTTCAGTACTTTTAATCTATTATAAAGTCCCTGTAGAAGAACAACACAGCTATGTCGAAGCTTTAGGAACCACTGTGACTACTCTTGTTAAAACCAATGTCCTGCAAATTGTAAATCCGAAGCTGTGGTCAGTTGAATCTAACAAGGAAACTAATGTATCGGCTGTACCTTCTCGAACAGCTGAAGCACCTGTACATGTCAATGTCTCGGAATCTGAAATGCAAATACCAAAGGACGATATATGTGGTTAGTTGCCTGAACTATCCTAATTCACTTCCTTCCTGCCTTCCTTGCGCGATTTACCATGCTAGAACTAATATTAATTGACTTTTGTCTACACATCGTCTCGTTTCTTTTTACAAGAGCTGTTATACAGATCAATAATTCCGTTTTACTTACTTATTTCCTAATTCACATTACTGGGTACGTGGCTTAGTATCTATGCACTGATGTTTCTTAATATTGCTGATTATGCAGAGATTTATCTTCGAAAGTTTATTTTTACCAACTAATCAAAATATCTGTTTCCCGGCCAACGTTTTCTGTGTCTTTATATCGTATTTACAAGCAATTTCAAATACCAATTATCGACATAAGAGGTTTGCTTAGTAACAATTTGTTGTTCATCTGAGATTAAAGTAGGTCTGAGAATCCAGATGTATTTCATACAAAGTCTCTTCAATTGTATAATAATTAAGTATATCTTTTCGATGTTTCGGCAGCATGCTGTTCACGAAATTTTATGGTAGGAAGTAAATCCATGTACGGTTGTTTCCATGACTACGAGCCTACATTACATCAAGTATTAATCGTGTTATTTCGGCTATGGAACTATTTATTCTTGAGATATTTTCTAAATATCGACTATCGAGATGCTTTCTTACTTCCCAGCTGTTAACTGTTCAGATGTCTGGCGTTTAAACCGGGTTGGTGGGTACTGAGGATTCACCTACGGGAGTGGAAAAAACCTGATTCCAAATCGATAGTACACATAGGCTTCATAGTCCTGAAGGAACCAATTGTGTATGGACCTATTGTTGGTCACCGGCTACCATTGATCAAGAGTTTCTAACGTTGCTCCCTTGTCTCGTGGATTAGACCTCTGGGTCAAAGGCTCGGGGAGTGACTCTCCAAGAAAAGCACCTACTTCAGCTTGGGTATCTGAGCAGTATTCAAGGCCGCACACAAATTTAATGGTAACTACTTTGTATTGCACATGTATATTTTGGCGCCCTCTTATACTAATGTCTACGTGTTTGAATAAATGAATAATAAACAGTGAGTGATAAACTTACTAATGTTGTTAAATAAAATTTATTTATTTTTAATTTAGAAGCATTACATAATTACATTTCTAGTGGATTTGTTAACTGGCCTATTGCAAATGAAAGAAATAATGAACCAGTGCGTAAACGTGTAAAACGTTATGATGAATCATCCGAGGTGATTTTATTAATTTCTCCATAAGATTTCAACATGATCCTCTAAATGCTTTAAATTAATCCTAGATACTCATTGTTGTAAGTAGTATAAGTTGTTTGTACACCAGCTGAGTAATGGTTATGGTATTCAGTCTTCAATCACTAGGTATCATGTCTGAACCCCATCCATCTACTTAGGCTTTGTCAGCTGGTTAATATTGGTAGTCCTGGCTGGAATATGGATGCTGTACTTGGTGAGTTAGCCATCTCGACTTGTGATGAGTATAGGTCGTCCAATTATTTCATCTAATCACTTTTGAATAGTTGGCTCATATTTATTCGATCAGTTGATTATTGATTCGTAAATTGTGGCCATACTTTGAGTAAAGGTTTATTCACTCTGCTCACAGTCACGGTTTCTCAAAGCGAAGTAGATAGAGTAGGGTGTAAATTAAGCACTCATTGGTCGCGATTAGACTGTTGATTACGACAAAAAATGAACTTGGACGATGAAATCTTGTTTGAAAAAGGTAATCTAATATACTGTTACCTGGAAAACTGATGGAAATCACTAATCGTTATCGGTTAATACCTGATGAGTGAACAATGACTTTATGAATAACATTGTCATGTAATATTCTTCCTGATTGGTTTATTTATTCATAAAAAGATTCTGTAAATAATTTTAGATTGGGAATTTGTATGGAAGGCATTAAACAAAGTATATTTGTGAAAATTTCGACAACAGAAATTGGGTATTGGACAAGACTGCTAGGGGATTTCGCAAAAAAATTTATTTATTGACCATGAACCTGTTACATATATTAGTTAGTGTTTTTATTTGCAAGTTGTATTTATTACAGATTTATCGCCATCAGAACACCTTTAGAAACCAGGAGACAATAAACTATTGCTTCGTCTTAGTATGTGAGTACTCAGCATCGTGCACTAGTGACGCCACCAGGAATCTAACCCAGAACATCTAGCCTTCCATTAATTCCTGGTTTTCAAAATTTCCCCCAACCGAGATAAATTTTCCTCATACATACAACCTGCAAATTGCATTGATCTCCACAAACCCTTCCAATTATTATCTTTTAATCAATCATTTTAGCTAATCTTTAAAAAATAAAATGATATCTTATTTTAATTTTCTTAACTTCAGTTAGTGAAATCTCTTAAATTGGTGGTCTGTCCAAATATTAAAACATTAGAGACAATGTGGAGAGATCGATTGATATGTCAGTTGGCAAGTGAAAAACTTGGTGAAGTAAGCTCTTTCTTGTTCATTTTATTCTGCTAGTACATCTGTTGAATCTTCCCTCTTTTCTTTGGGGAGGGGGGTAAAGTACTTATAGATCATCTTTTCTTTTCTGATTTAGATATGCGGTGATATTCTTTCACATTTATTATGTATTGCTACAGCTGCTAATAGGGGCACAGGAATCACCTCTCCAGAGTCAGGAGCCGTTTCACGTTCAGAGGTTGGTCTACATATTTCACTTTTTTCATAGTATGGATCATTAACAATAAATGATATAATTTATTCTATAGTTTCTTATATGTATATACAGTTTCCTGAATTTGATTCTTTCATGTGTAAACAGTAATATTTGAAGTATTGAAGAGAATAATTAAATTTTACTCACTTTTCACCATTTATGGTTCATCTTATCCTTTATTGAAATAGCAAATACCATAACAAAATCACAATTTTTTTTCATAATTATGATTCAATTATTTTATTTACTTACGCCTGTTACTTCCAATGGAGCATAGGCCGTTGACCAGCATTCTCCAACCCACTCTGTCCTGGGCCTTTCTTTCTAGTTCTATCCAATTGTTTTTCATTCTTCTCACGTCTGTTTGTCTCCATTTCTCGGTGTAATGTGTTCTTTGGTCTTCCTTTTTTCCTTTGGCCTTGAGGATTTCATGCAAGGGGTTTCTTTGTGTTATTTTACTTGCCTTATTTTAAATTTTCCAAATGAATAAATTCTATTTTGTATATATTTTGTTTCAGTTAAAGTGATTACCATGTCATTTTAGTCTAACAATAGTATTTACCATATGTAATATTTGATAAGAATCTTATGTTCAAAGCACTCAATGATATAGAATACGACACAATTCTTACTTTAAAAAAAATACTAAAATGGGTCACTGTAAGGAAGATTTTATGATTTCAAGAAAAGGATAACATAGTGAAAAATTTCACAGATACTGATCGCTTAATAAATTTAAACAAACTGAGAAGGTTCACAGAATAACATGGATTCATTTCAAGGTTTCTCATTCGCTTCAAACTACCCATAGTTACAGTTATACCTACACATTAATCAGGGAAGTTGAGTTCAAAACGAAACAGAGGAAAACAGACAAGAAGAACAAAAACATGGGTAATATAATAGTTAAAATTGTTCAGTATTTACATGTTAAAAGTAAAGTTAGTCATATAAGAAAGTGGATGGCATCAAAATAATGAGATAATAAAAAAAGACATTTTTTAACAACTAAATGATAATCAAACCGAGTCATAAATGTCAATGGAAATTTCTACAATATATGGTAAAACAAAATAAGATAAGATTATGTAGTTGACAACTGTTGAAGCAATGTAATTGTTTTACTATGGAAACAAGAGGTTTAGCATATTTTATTTATACGATGGTCAAATGGAAAGCGCTTAATAGTAATGGCCTTTGGAAAGCAAAGTAAAGGCGATGTTTGCTGCTTCTTAGGATTAGGGGCACGTACGTTATATCTACTGTCCACTAAATGCCTAGTAATCGTACTTGTAGACAGTTTACTTGTTTAAAACACAGCTTTCGAGGAATATGTTCATAAACCTTGTAAATGTGCTTCTGTCAGTCCTTCCTACTCACTTGCTGCTTCAAGTACAATTAAATTCATAAATAAATTTGTAGTTGACTTTGGAAAAGTATTTATCCACTTGTGATTGGTTAAGGGAACATCCGGTGTTATATACTGGAAATCGTTGGGCTTCAGGGAAGCTTTTTAGTTTTTCCTTAATCATTTAATCAAATTTGAATACAAGACTGATGAAGACAACTGTAAAGAAAAATCTGTTAGTTAAGATATAATTAATGTGGATATATCAAATAATCTTTAAGAAACGACATCACTTCACATAACTGAAACCAACAATCAAATAAATTTATGAACTGAAACCATGTCTTGAGGTCTGTTCAACATAATCCGTTTTTCAACATAATCCTCCTATCCTTGATAACATAGCGTGATAAAATATGCGGTAGTTTTGTTCATCATAAATAATGATTTGCCCTTCTCTTTAACTTTTCTGTAATTTGTTTATTTATTACGACAGCTTTTGCGAAGTATGCGAATTGTACCGGATCATATATCCTCGTATATATCCTTACTCATAGATGATGAGGTAATTATGGTATGCTTTTTTGCTAGTATTAAATGTAAGCATTTTAATTATCAGTGTTTTTTGCACGCTTAAGTGAATTTATAGTACTTCAAGCTAATCGTACACAAAATTAAAATCCATGATCAACACAATTATTTAGCTTTCGGATGCAGTGAAACGTGAATTGTTATACTCTTCACGCAATCCACAAAAATTTTCAAATATCTACCGTTACCTTTCGCATTTTCTTTGAATACTTCAGGGTTATTTTTCCTCCACGTTGTTTGAACGTATAAAATTTGCTACTTCATGGTGCTGTATAAGCCCCATGACCTAAACGTCTATGGAGAGATTTGTATTATCTCGTAAAATTTTCTTAGTGTTTTCTGTCTTTGCCAATATAGTCGAGAGCCTTTGGGACTTAATCACTAAGACATATCTGTCAGCTTAGAGCTTTCTTTGGTATTTTAAAGATTTAAACCTACATTAATAATTAATCGTCCGAACTATGGTTGACTCTCTAAAAAATAGTTTTACATATGAGTGAGTTTATTGATTTTTAGCAATCAGTGTAAATATCTGAATCGTAAAGTAATCTACTCGCACTCTAATGGACTCAGTAAATAAGTCTCAGACAATGACAGGCCCGAACCCAATGTTAAATATCCACCTCTCCAAGACTCCACAGAGTGATTTATTCATAAATTTCTTACTGTCTTTATAAATAACATCATATCGATTGATATTTTCCATCTTTAGGATTTATATGCTCAACAATTAGTACGAGATCAGTCAGTAATCAATATGATAGAATCATCTAAAATTCAGTATAACTTTTACTTATGTATCCACTTGCTTTAAAAGTTGTAAATTAGATAAAAAGTATAAATAACTTGTAACTAGTAAATTGTTTCATTTAATCATCAAGAAGTGTTTTAATCAATGTCTTATCCTTATATTTTGATAACTGCATAGTTATTATTTATTTATTCATTTCTAAAGATTTCCTTTTTTTGTAGGTAAAATTCATTTTACAGCAACCTGGATTAGCTGGTTACATGTACACATGTCGTATTCCTTTTTTTGGTCTTTGATGTTTCAACACCAATTGAGAATATTTACCATTTTAGAGTTTCACAACCACGTCATCTACATTGAGGTGAAATAATCAAGATTATTACTAAAGTAGTGGAATAGTAAAATGAATGCATTTTTGTCAGATAAAAACGTATAAAATCATTTTCCTAAACTTTATGATCGAAGGGAAGACAAATGATGAAAGCATTCACTAGTTAGCAACTATTTTCGAGAATATTTTCAACTGTTGGTTATATTAATTACGTGGTCTCCAACTAGAGAAAGTAGAAATAGCATTATTTGTACTTCATGTTGGATAATTTTTTTAAACTTTTATTACTTTACTTATCGCTCTTGAGGTATTTAACCAGGATTCTTCGACCAACTTTGTTCTAAGCTCTCCTTTCTAGTTGTCAAGTGTAATTCATTCCTTGATGTCATGACTTTTCGAACTTGTTACAAATTAATCAGTAGTAACATTTCAGCTAAATATTCTTACTTGATCCATGATTGAGAAATTAATTTATCGCTCTGATGTTTTCAGTATACATTTGTTTTCTCTACATAGAAAGGATAGTTATTTTTAGTGCATAAGTTTTGTTTACAGTTATCTTTTCCAATCAGTGAAAAATGTTCATTTCAGAGAAATAATAAAAATATAGTACTAATGTCAGTAGTGAAATATTCACTCAAAGATGTAAAAATATAACAGATTTTAAGCATTATCTATCACATTCAATATACAGTGAAATGTTTAGTTTTGTCATTTATATTATTGTAATAATTTCCTTAACATTTAATAATATCAGCTTATAAATATGTCATTAAACAACTATTTATCAAAAATGTGGAGTATATCATACAAGTCCTGTAAGTTGTTTTCTTATTTTATTTTTCAATACTTTTATGGTTTTTGATTGGGATCATGAATCGATCGATGTTAGACCACCATTGAGAACCTATAAGCGGTGGACGGCCGTTCCGTTTTAATATGGTACTCCTTGGCAGTGCCCATCCATGATCTCTCACACGGGATTCCAATCCAGGACCTTCATTCTCGCGCGCAAACGCCTAAACTCCAAACTAATGAGCCGGCATCCAACGGTATTAATGTTTAACTTCAACCAATTCACGAATTTTCTGGTCGAAAACTTCACTAGTTGCCTTTTCGAATTCCTTCAATAGCACGCCATTTTTGTAATAAATCACCTGCCGTTTTAATTTGAGACGGAATATGAGTATATACATGTGATATAATAATTATACTCACTTCCCCTCACAAAAATGTTCTTTGCCTTTAGCTGAGATGAAGGAATATCAAATTCGCACTATCACAGTGACAGGCAATTTACAAAATGAAAGCCAAGAGAATCCGTAATAGTAGAAAAATCAAGCATAGAGAATACCTTTTGAAAAGAAAGAATAAAACCAAGAAATCAGGGATATATAAAATAATACTTAGACTCAAAATTTAAAGAAATGTGAGCACTGCTGCACTCAAATGCCCTGGCATGACCGAGAGTGGGGTGGGCCCGCTCTCCCTCTCGAAATGCTCTCACACAGCCACGCGTATACAGACTCTGCCAGGGAAGTCCTACTCAATGCCTTCTCGTGGCATTACTGTTGTTTACGAAATTAAGAGGATGGAAAGCGAATGTCCGGCGCTTTAACCGGATTCCAAACCAATGGTGCACATGGGCTTCAGTATCCTGAGGGGAAAAATGGCGTATGAACCAATCGTTGGTCACCGGCTACCACGGGACTGCATCTCCTCACGATACCCTACTGCCTTGTGGGTCAGACTTTTAGGTCAAAGGCTCCAAGTGTGGACCCCTAAGAAAACCACCTGTTTCGGTCTGGGCACGCAGGCAGTATGCTAGCCCTCACACAAATCGAATGATTTATGTGGCGCATATCTACTTGGTGCCTCCTTGTACCAATGTTTATGTGTTTAAATAAATAATAATAATAAACTAATACTGCTGCACCACTACGTCCATTTTTCAACTGAGCTATATAGTTTTGATTTGTTGTTTACGATTTAATGTGAGTAGCTAAATCGTATAGATCAACTTATCAGAAAGTATTTGGAAACCGAATATATAAAATATTACATTTATTACTGAAGTTCATAATAATAATAACGTCTAGGTATATGTTACTTAAAACGTTAAATTACATCTTTGAATGACACTCTAACATGTATAATCAACTTAGTATAGTTTTGATGTTAAGTTTTGTTAAATTTCAATCCTTTTTAATTATTACTCACTGAACATTGAAATAATACTGAATCATAGTTTTCTGTCAAATTCGAAATTTTTTGAACCTACTCACCATCAGTTTCAAATCTTGATTTTTGTTTAGTCACTTGGGTTTGCGAAGCGTGTCTATAGGCCTCTAGTGAATATATCATTTGTGTTATTATAACCATGATTCATATATGTGCAGTCAGTCAGTAACAACGTAGAACTTCGTACGTACGTACATCAGTTCGTGTTGCCATACCACATTAGCACAGAGATGCAGTGGTCGATTCAAATCCCGTAGTGGTAGAGGTAATAAGAGTATAAGCAGTAATCAGGAAAACTAGTGTTTGGAGATGTTATTTAAAGAGTATAATCCAGTGAAATAAATTTGGAAAGAGGAAAAAAGAAAGGGACATGAAGAAGTCAGAAGATTAGAATTTGGGAGAACACAAAGAGTGGATGCACCTGCGCCATTGCAAACGATTTTGAGCCATGTAATTCAGGGTCTCTAACCATCGGTTGCTATCATCTCGCGGTCCCCAACGAGGTAGTCTACACCTACCAACATGACTCAGTCCACTTGTCAGTTACTTCATGGACTTGTGCCATGTTTTAGTCTGGCCGCCTCTAGCTTTCTTCCAACCTACTCCTATACCACTGAACATCGCACGTCGAGACAGTCGATCGTTGGGCATACGTAACACGTGTCCCAGCAATCTCAACTGATGAAGTTTCCCCACTTCATCAATCGATTTGCCATCCTTACCTAGTACCCGTTTCCTAACAACTGCGTTACTTACTCGATGGTCCCGGGATATACGAGCAATGTTTCTAAGACACCTATGATCAAATACTAGTAACCTACGGATATCCTCTACTCTTACCGGTCATGTTTCACTGCCATAAAGTAGGACGGAACGAATTGCTGCGCAGTAAACACGTCCTTTGGTTGATAGACGGATATTTCGCCTACGCATAAATGACGCAAGTTGGAGAGAGCTAGTCGAGCCTTCTGTATCCGTGCTGAGATTTCGTCACACACAAGACCACAAGGGCTGATGAGTTCATATATGTGCTCAATCCAGTATATTTTATTCTTGTCTATCACTCATGATAAAAGGTCTTACGTTATCTATAACTGGCTATTGGCCTACTATAAATTAACATTTTTTTCCGTTTTTATTTTGAAACTTAGCTTTGAAAGTAATGGGTTACGTATTTTCCGATTTCTTCTGCTTTCTGGACCTTCAAATTTAGAAGAGGTAAATGAATACTAGTTTTGATGCTCAACTTTTCAGTAGTTTCGATATGAGTACATATTTTCATTTTGTTTTCCTTCGTAATAAAGTACCTTATTTTGGTGATGATCCTTTTTCATAAAATAATCACACATTCATAAAATATCTTGTTTATGCTTACATTGATGGATTGTGGTCGATTATTATCGTTTTGAAATATCTAATGTTCGGTTTATTGGTTAAACCCCTTTTATGGACAATAATTTTTACATAAATTTATCCATAGTGTAATAATGGTCATGTTGTTTTTATAGAAGCATCAAAATATCATTATTAGAGTTTGTTCTCGTTTAAATAGCACATAGCGAAATAACATTCACTTTTTTCGAACAATGTCTCTGTGGAGACTGTTGTATGGCTTAAAGTAGAGTATTTTCACAGATAGAAATCATGAGTCAAATCTCCACAAACCCCTTCTGTTAAAGTAGAGTACTTGAATTTCTAAATAATTACCGAAATGCATTAAATTAAATAAAGTTACGTACTACTAGGTACATTTTATCAGTAACACAACGGAAACACCCTGAAATAATAATATTTCAACTGGATTTACGTTTTATTAAACTTTTTCAACTATTGGAAAATGGAATATGCTTTGTTAGATCAATGAATTTCGATCAGCATTAAAGTATCGTTAACATGACACTAATTACTATCAAACGATCATTTAATTTATGTTTATTTTTTTTTATAATTGACTATTTTAAACGAGATATTTCCATTCTGGTATAAATTGACTGCCATGATGTTGAAAGGAAAGTAGTAGTTTCGCTGTTTTGATCATCACATTTCTAAATGGCCAAATTACTATGAGCATTATCACAGTTGTATGAAAGAGAACAGTTTCTTGATTCATCGACCACATTGCAATTAATTAGCATAAAGCTTCATTTAGATTTTGTTTTGTAAAGTGTTTTCACTTAATGTTATCTACTTTCCGAATTAATCATATTATTTCATTTTTGTATTGGTTGTTTGAATCTTCGCATTGATGTTTAGAACTACAACTGACCAGTCTCTTATAGGTATATGTGCATCCTATGCGGATTAACTCAATATCCCTTTAAGTCACAAGTATTATAAGCAGATATCATATTATCGTTATTATTATTATTATTATTATTATTATTATTATTATTATTATTATTATTAGATTTATTTTCATTTCCTAATCTTTATTTTATACTTCTAGAAATTATCTCTACATATCGCTTGTTCTTTTATAGTTAACTTCTTAATTATACAATTAAGTGTTGAATTTCCTTTCTTGCTATCATTTTTCCTTTTGTTAAATCATTTTCATTGTGTTCTCTATAGGTTGAACGAAAAGTATTGCTTCCCCAAAGTGATTTCCGACGAATACTACCACGTATGGTATCTATGGGACTTATTACAACAACTGTAAGTTGTAATTTACATATTGACTTATGCATAAATATTACCAATAGTTTTACTAATATTGAGATTGTGGAAAATGTTTATGGCTCAGGATAATGATTTCCAGGGTGTTTCATTCTGTGAGCTGGATGGTTTGATCATGAAGTTTACATTGTCTTTGCCGACAATACCATCACTACAGACGTCAATAAGAAATGAATTGTTAGAATTTCTCCACAATATTGACTATCTCCTTGTTCTGTTGACCGAGAAGAATTTGTTTGGTTGTTATCCATGCGTGTGCGTGTGCGTTATCCACATGGTTGTTTTGATTGTTTTCACCTATAACCTTGGGGTTGTTTATCCTTTTCCTGACTAGTTGGTGGATTAGGTTAATTTCAATGTCTATTGATCGATCTGTTACCAGAGTGTCATGCTTCTAAGAATTCACTAGCTTTCTTTATGTGCCTTCTGTCCAGTATCTTAACATTTTCTCAATTGAAATCATGTTCATGGTTGTTCATATGTATTGGTTTGAAAGAAGTTATTTCTTGGCATTTAACTACTAGCTGATGTTCATGTAGACGTAGACGGAACAGGTGATCGCTTTGTCCTGTTTAGGGCTTCTCATAATTGCTGAAAATGAAGTTGAAAATGTTTTTTTTATGTGTTGTAATTTGGTCTGGATAACATCCATATTGTTTTAATCGCCGAATCGTTAGGATAAGTTTTATTACAGATCCTTCAAGACGTCGATTACTCTAACGATTATTATATATATCTTTACAATGTCTTTGGAATTACGATAAAAAAGTGTTGTGTATTGGAATAGCGAAAAATCAATGATAAAATGTAGGCTGCAGCAGTTGGTAATCATTCCTGTTGTGTCCCATACTAAAGCGAAACAAACTGTCCAGTGCTTCGCAGTCTTCAATAGTTTTCTGACTAAGGTTAGTTCATGAAGTAAATTATAAAACTAGGGAGATAGTCGAATTCGTTACAGAAAATCTCTAAAGCTGATAAAAACTGGTTAACATTAATTCCGTCGCTACATAATTAGTCAATTTAGGGAAATAAACTTCAAATATTATGAAACTTCAGTTTCAATTAGGTTGCTTAATTTATAAATACAAATTATTAAAATCTAGTTTCGTGGCCTTGACGTATTGTTCTCACTTCGAGATTTGAAGTTGTTTAGCTGCGTAACTTGCTAAATAGTTAGTTTTTGTTCTTGAAGGAAATCATTTTTAAAGGCAATTGAATGGTTATATATATATTCCTCTTCTATTGATCTATAAATATATTAGGAACTATCGCGAACAAAGGAATACACAGCAGACACTATCTTTTGTTTGTATTCCATCAATTTGTTGCAAGTTGCTCGATTGGTTATTGAACTTTCACAACATGAGGTTTTTCGTATCTCTTTGCGTCGTGATTATGAATTTTCACAGAAAAGGTATGCTATTTAATTTGCTTTGTTGTGTCGATTTTTAAAGCGTGTAATATGATATTACTTATTGTTGTCACATCTAATTTTCAGTCATTGATAATATCTTCATCTAAAAGAATCTGAAGTTCTTGTAGTTATATATATATATAGACCTTAAACGTTAATACCGTTGGATCTCGACTCAGTGGTCTAGAGGTCAAGTGTTTGTGCGCGAGACCGGAGGTCCTAGGTTTGAATTCCGTGTGCATGGTCGTGAATACGCACTTCTGAGAAGTCTCATAGTAGTACAAAACGGTCATCCAGTGCTTCCAGGCTTTTGTTGGTGGCCCAACATTGATCGATTCATGGTCTCAATGAAACTTCAACAATCTCCACAACCCTATACTTACAATTCTTAAAAATTGTTATCTCTATTATTCAAACCTTGATATCGATGACTTGTCTGTCAAATTGATGATCCTATAAATTGAAATCATTGTCAGATATTTGTACTTGTGATAGTTGTATATATGTTTTCCCTCTTCAGTCGTCTAATTGAACAACGTTACCGTATTGAATCTCTTATCCTGAAACATCAGGCTAAGTTGAATGAATACAACGAATCGTCGTCTAGTGCATCTCTAAATGATTCGAATGAGTCTGAATCACAACACAAAGAAAGTATAGAATCTTTGAAATCTTCAATAACACCTGCTGAACTGCATCAATTAACAGTTTTGTCAGACAAATTATCTAAGTAAGAACTGTTTTCAACTTTTTTCACAATAATGTCTTTTAGAGTGTTTTGTTGTATGGTTTGTTTTCAGTTTGTTTTAACTCACCTTGTTTTATTTCTTTATGCGCGTTTTATTGTTTGTTATTGCGTTCGATTAGTTCATTATGAATAATATTTTAATGCTTCTTTGAAATACAGATTTGTCTTAATAGTATTAAACATACTTTTGTTAATTTATGGAAGCATGATTCTGCGATATACTCATTTTTTCTAGGTTGTAAGGGTGGCATCGCCAGTTGCTGAGTTCATTTCTAATTAATCACTTACGCATGTTACGCTTCGTAGAGGAGTATAGGCCACCCGTCAGGATCCTGCATACAACTCTGTTCTGGACAATCTTGCATAGGCAATAGTTTATAAGTACTTGTACTTTTGATGTCATTCTGCTGCAGTAATATTTCTGTAAAAATACCGCGAAGAATAAGCCTAAGTTGACTTTCATCGACCAGTTAATCAATCTGTTTTGTTTGAAGTTGGACATTTATAGACAATATATCTTCATATGGATGGCCTAGAAGTCGTTTTACTGGTAGGTGATTCGTCTCATTCTGTTAACTGCGACACTGATCAATATTACTGCGATACATTTGATAACGTTTACATATATATATATATGAAATATTTACACTTCATCTTTACACAAATAAGAAATGAAATCATTAGCAAACCTCTTGGTTTTTATTTTTTTATTAACAAATCCATATATTCATTATCTTTGATTTTAATTTCGTTTCGTTTTTTAGGTTAATTAACTGTGAATACAAATGTCATACAGCATGGTTTGTAGCTGATCTTTTTCTTCGTTTACATTCTTGATTACATTAAACGTAAAAATTTATGTTCTCCAGTTGTATGTAAATAATTTTTATGCTAAGTCACCCAAGGTTTCATGATATATAGAACATAAATGAATCTTGTAACGTTTTCATAATTTCAAAATATATATTACTGTTTTAGGAAATGACGTTTTGGTTTACCATCGCTATTGTAACGAGTACATTGTATTTATTCAAATAAAGTATTAAAGTAACTGTGTATTGCTGTCATCTTTTTCTGTTTAAACGGTCGTATAACGATAGCTTTTTCTATGGCGTCTGGTGTTCATATAGGCCCATTAAAATTTGAGGCTAAATATGTAATTTTAGAACATGAATTTGACCAACAAAAACGTGAAAAGTAGGCTGGGCTTGTGTATTATGAGCAAGCCTTCGTGGTATTATTGATCCTCTTGGTATATATCTTCGTTGATGACATGATCATTTTTCATTTCCTTAAGAATTGCTAACAAGAGACTAGACTTAAAACCTGTTATCCGTTCGATTGAATTTTCAAATTGAAAATGTGTATGGAGTTTGTTAATTTTCTCACTCACGCCTATATATTGAAGATTTGAATCTAAGAGAATTTGGATCATATACGAAATATTATCGATCTAATTCTTAGTCTAATGCAGTGTTGCAGACTGGATTTGCATAGGTCTAGAAAGAGCTTATGTAGATACGTAGCATCGACTGAACGAACAATCCAAGCAAAATCTAAAGTTGCAGTAAATTTATAGTCTAAACACCGTAAATTTCTGGTATTTGTGTTTTCTACTTGACCATGGATATCTGCAAATGGAAATTAAGCTGGCAGTGATCAAGTAACGAAGAAACATTCTAGGTGATAATTCCTGACGTTAAACTGTGTATGGATTGATTAAGCCAGACGATGAAATTATATTCGACAGCCGATCGATTTTTGCCTACATATGCTACAGACATGGTTTGCAGCACATTGTAGCTATACTTAAGAGTTGGTATTTTAAAAGATATATCATACAGGGACACTAACATGCTACTAATGCTTGTTAAATAACAATGATATACGTTTATAATCGTAGTTGAATAGTTATTTCGATCAGCCGACCGTCTTAGTCGAAATCGAATACTACGCAACATTGAGATAAGACAATAAGTGTTATCAGTAATTGACAAACTTAAGCAACGATGGAAGTGAAAAAGAATAAGTTTAGGATGCAATCATAATGCTAGTCTTGCAGACCATTGATGTAGACGATCTGTATCAAATGTTTGGAGGCCAATCGAGTTAGATGACGGTTGTGTTACCAACCACCTAACACTGAAGTCACACCTTGCCGTTAGTATCCGACGTAGATTATCCTTTCGTCGTATCCCGGCGCTGTGGCTGCTTTGATGACTGTACAACACGAATGACGTCATTGCATAAATATATTAAGGGTAGCTACAAGCAACAAAGTGCGATCACCTCGTGGGTCAGTCCATGGTATGCAATTAACTGATGCTCCTTGGTTGTCCTCGATCTTGAGTGGTGGACTGTTCGATACTCAGTGATCCGTCTACAGATTGATTTAGCTAGGGCCTAGAGACATTTCACTGGCTCTACAATACTCTGTCACTGAATTGGACGGCCGTTTGAATCAACACTATACTCGTCGGGGGCAGTCGCTTTCCATACGTTGCCAAACGATGGATAGGAATACTCTGACCATTGCTGAGATGTAAGACCGATGGAAAAAAGACGGCAGCGACTGGTCAGGAAATAGCAAGTAATGATAAATCTGGGAATGTTAGATTTGTTGATGTGCTAAAAAGTATGACTTTCAGGTTGGGTTAATGTTAGGCAGTTAACGATGACAATAGAAAACTATGGTATTTTCAAGTTCCCTCAAGCCTTTTTAAAATAAATTGCATTGTTAAGTGATTGAGTTTCTCAGATAAGCAACCTTCATTTCTCTGCAAGTGTGAAGATACTATATTGATAGTACTAAAAGTGTGTTAATAATTGGTGCAGATGTTTGTATTAACATTGATTTATAGTAGAGAGTTAGTCTGTATCGTTGAAATGTCGAATTATATCTATACATATGTTACAACTTATTTTCTCCCTCATAATCATATAGACAGCACCTATTTTTATCATGTAAAGATTTATTCATCCGAAAGCGTCGTACAACAATAAGTCACATATATTTGTGGCACATAAGCTTATTTGATTTCAATGCCTTATAAGTACTCACATTCATAGACATAGATCTCTATGCTATCTCAATCTTGATACTTGCAACTGACTTGTATACACCATCAATAAGTATGTATGAATATGAATACTTGGTCTATTGCAAATCAGAGTATTTTACTCACGGTTGCACTCGCGTTTGACGAACTACCGTTAGCTGTCTGACCAAAATCCATATAATTAACACCTCTTACGTTTTAAAATATTTTGAATAATCATTCGTATGTATTAGTTTTATTACTGAACCTTGTCACAGGCTTTATGAAAATTGGATAAATCTCCCCGTAACTAAATAAACGAATTAAAGTGAACAAACCAACTAGGACACTAGATCGAATTTTTCCTCTTCATGGTTATACTCCTGTTACTTCATCTAGCCTAATAATAAAAATGAAATTGGAAATAATTAACTACGGACAGGATGCCGACATTAAAATCAACTTTCTAGTCTAAACCAAAGATAATACTATTATAAGAATCTCTACAACATTGATTACTTTTCTATTTTTAAGCACAAAGTACTCATACTACCCATATGTTAAGCCAATAAATAACGATTATTTCTATGCAGTTTAAAGTAACTTGGTGTAGGGCCAGCAAAATGTCACTAAGCCCTAACCAAATCATCTGTCATTTGGGTCATTGAATATCGAGCAAATCGTCAATCCTCGTCAAGGTCGGGGACGACCAACGCGCATCAGTTAGTCATATGCCATGGACTTGCCCATGCAGCAGCGGTCTTACTTTCGCTTGTTTCTACTTTAACTAATATATTTCTGTAATGATGTCCTCCGTGTTGTACAGTCTTCAAAGCATTTTTGGTATCTTGATACGTCAACGGGGTAGTACACGTAAGGTACCGACCACGAGGTGTGACTTCGATATTAGCTAGTTTGTCACATAATTTACGTCTAACTCGAGTAGGCCTCCAATCATTTTCGACATAGATCATCTACGCTGGTGATGTACGTTGGTAAAATATCTCTTTACTTAACGATTCTTCTTCATTATAATCCCACTTTGTTTACCTCTCATTCTAAGTGTATTAACAATGAAACCACACATTCTGAAATTGCAGCCGCCCTACTACTGACTTACTCCTCAGTTTATCAATGCCTGGAGGACTCCTAATATTCTTTCGGTAACCTCTAGAGAGCGGCAATCCCACTTGATTTGGTATCGAACCAGAATTACGTCAATCTGGAGAGAGAGAGAGAGGAGTGTTGTAGTGACTCACCTATATCACGAGAACACGATTGGTTTAATGAAAACAATTATCATTATAACCAATTGTACCAGTGACCGTTTCAATGTGCTCTTTGTTTAACTCTGTTAAAAACATGCATTATATACACTTTGATTGTGACCTCGCGCGAATTCGGTTACGTTCTGTAATGAAGCTTGTATCCTGGCACTATCTCGGTGTCCATCCGATACCACGAGATCGCCAGCAAATATAATTCGACTTGGTCCATTAACTGCCTTCTGATATTTGGCTTCCGTGGGATTTTTTGGATTTATTCGGCACGCGTTCCTTTGTAGTGGTGTTCATAGTCAGCTGGGACTCGACCTCACGCTACAGTGTAATGGCATTTATTCCCAACCACACGATCATCAAAGCTGAGTGTATAATCACTGAGGATTTTACACTTAACATGTAACACTAAGAGAAAACCGACAGTGGTAACGTGAGAGAAAGGAATCGAATCGGCATGGCTCGACCATGCAGGCGTGGTCAATGTTTATAACGTTTTTCTTTTTGTATCCAATATACTACCCTATTACCAGGACATATGTGCTCTTCGAAAATGCTAGAAGTCATATTGCTGATTGTCACGGTAGGACGAGTCGGTGTGACTTCTGAGTAAGATCTTATAGGTTAGGCAGTCACATCATGACAAATCCACCCTTTTGGAGATAGTTCTATTATTGTTGCATTACTAATAACGAACTAGACCATAATAATGTGTATATTTGACAGATTAACTGGAAGTGCAGAAGTGTAAGCATGAAGTTATCGATCAACTTTTCGTCAGAGCTTTGAGTGCTGATGATTTTCGTTGTAATAAGTAAAGGAGAACACAAGGAAACATAAGGGAACATAAGAAAACAGGACTGTCACTCCAGACTCATGTCAACAATATTGATGCAAACGCTGTTAGTGGTGGTGTAGAAACAGCACTGTTGTTTTCAGTCTGCAAGATATTTGCTTGGCTTTATAAACTGATGATTCGTGCGAATGATTGTGCCGTCAGACCGCCAGTTGAACAGGACAGTTATTATATCGTCGAGTATGTGAAAATCTGATCTATGTGTTGGACTGATTTGATAGGTTACAGCCACGAGGAAAAGACATTTCATAAAACGCAGAAAGTACGACGTTGAAGTGGAATAAATGCATAAGTTCGGATGTGCTCTAATGTCACAGCGAAATAATTTATACTGCTAGTTGATGTGAACGTTTGTTTGGGTAATAGTAATGTAAGAGTTGGATGGGTAAATACAGACGTATACGAAGATTATAGTTAGTTTCGTCAAGAATTTTAGACGACGTTTCGATGTTTCTCAAACTCGAAATGCAAGTTAATAAGCCGCAAATGGAATTAAGATGACTTACATGTAATAGAGATGTCGAGTCATGGTTTGCCGTATCAGATCACATTAAATGTGCAGCCGTAAATAAATACCCAAAGTCAATAGCTTGGTAAGTCATCGATATTTTGATGTTGACCTCGTCAGTTTTGTAGACTCACCTAGTTGAAACCTCCTGGCTACATATCCACAACTGTTCAAGGATGGGTATGCCGTGCTTCACATCCTCCACAATATATAGCCAGCTTAGATTCATCACTTCTTGATACATCAATAGCTTATCAAATATATCTTCAAACCTTATAGTTTCCGATGTTTGATTTGGCCGGGTTGGTACATCTTGATAATAAAAGTTGTTACTGATTTTGTTGCTGTCAAACTCCGAATACTTGTGGCATCTTTAAATGCAAAGCGGATAGTAAACATTAGTTAAAATGGCAAACGCCAATTTAACCAATGTTTAGGAGCTTCAGATAACGTAGCCATTTCGTAAACAGCTGATGCGGAAAGCTTATTATCTAGGGTCAAGTAACATATTTCTTACGGCAATACGACGAATTATGTAGTTAAGTTTTAGATTAAGATTGCTTGTGTACATTCAATATGTTTTTCTACAGTAATGTCGACTTACAAGGCATGAATATACATGGTTTCGACTAAAAAGTGACGGGAGTAGGGTTAAATGGCCCGCAGAGAAGAGAGAATAGGAAGCAAATGACTGTGAAAATGACGGTACAAAATGATTTATCTCATAAAAATAGACTGAAACGATTCATCCTATATCTTCTGCTTTAATGTTAATTCCAATGTTGTAGTAAACTGGTTTTCCACATTTTATTGACTTATAAATAGAAATAGGGATTTTCAGTACTGCGTACAGTAACTATTGACGTGCCTCACTTGAATTACTATAGTAATCCCTGAAGACTATATATAATTTTTCACGCGAAAAATACTTTCAACGAATGTTAGGACTGAGAAAGGAAGTTTTAGAGTTTGGTTCAAACTATTAACTAATAGGTAAGATGCTGAGACATTAGACTTCTCAAATTCTATAAATAGGCCACTGCACACCAGACTATCCTTCTCCAACATTGGACCATATGTTTCACGACATCTTTCCTTATTTTTCGCTGCTGAAAATAGATGGATCTTACATATACTGTGACAGAAAATATGACAGGATAATACTTTACCTTTGGTTTCTTTTCGACCTTGAGTTTGTTTGTACACGTAAGAAAGAACTATTTACTTGGTTACGCGTCACTTAAGTTTAATCATGTGTTACCCAGATCCACATCTAACTTTTTGAGTAACACTATATTTCATATTTATGGTCATCCACTTCCGGGAACATCACAGTGATTTAACAGATGAAATAAGCATGTATGTTTAAAACAGTTTGAAACTCGAGAAACTGAACATTGTCACAAAATGCACAAATGTTTCATTCGTCTTTAAATCTGCAATAATTGAGTTGAAAATGATTGTTAAACCGTCATAAAAAGGTGGCTTTCAGTTTCTAGTTTGTGTTCTTATTGGGATGTTCCAATCTTGTTAATATTTGTGCCAAATGAGTACGACGAAGTGTGAAGAAGATATTACCTGTAAGTATGCTATTCACTGATGTAATGATTCTTGAAAACTTTTATACTATAACTTATCATTCTTTTCAAGTTCAAAGAAAGAACTGTGTTTCCTTGAAGATTTTTGATACACAAAACCTGAGCACGACGTTCATATTCTATACGAGCGATATGCAAAATCTAAAGTAAAATACTCATTTACCAACTATAGGGTGCCTTCACGCAGAAGTACTACATATATTAGTGACTCTCTTATGACGTCGAATTTTGTCTTAGACTGAAGAAACTATGATCTTCGTAAACACAACCGTTCATCAGAACATAGTAGTAACAATGTGGTCAATCGAGTGTCTACAATTGATTTCGCGTTGAAACTTAAATATTCAATGATTTCTTGTATACTTGTATTTTCAAACATTTATGAAACAATTAGCATTCGTTTTCAGTATTCATGCATGGAGGACTGATTCGTTTAGTGGAGTACTTAATAAGAGAATTAGTTAGGAATTGTATCGCTGACAAAACACCTTGAAACTGTTCACTATGTGATAGATGAACCCACTCTATTCCTCCAGATCTCGAATTTATTTGTTCATACTTTTTCACCCTAATTTTTGGGCGAATTTCTGGATCTGTTCTTTTTCTATAATGTCATATTATTCCAATCTCTTAATGATACATTTTATGATCATCGTGTGCAAATGTGCTGTGGCAACTCAGTCAAAGAATATGTGTCACTCTATGCTGATGATGATTGAATATTTTAGATTTTTTAGAATAATATGAAGCTAACATTTCATGTTCTATATCTGAATGTTGATCACATTACCTTAAGACAAGAACTGGCCACATCTAAATTCTTTACTTATTATATTAAAAACAATATTGTGGGGCAAATTCGAGGCTGGGAGGAGTTTTGAAAGTAGCATAGAAGCATTAGCAAAAATATCTGCTGTTATTGGTTAGAATTTGATATCAAGAATTGCTTGAGAAACATTACGCTTACAGGTCGTTGATTGAAAGGATTCAGAATAAGTTATATTTATTAGTAGTCGTAACTTCACTATGAAGTGCGTGTAAACACAACTCACTTGCGTACGTTTGTGAATAAACTTATTATTTTTACGTATCAAAGGAGTTAGTGTTATTTAAAAGCACCAAATCTACAATTGGTTGTTTGACATTTTTAAATGGCACAAAGAGTTTGAAGTGTTTTGATGCGTTTGATTACAGTCATGATTAGCGTTGTAACTAACCTTTGATAACCGATTTCAGATTAAAAAGCTTCATCAGGGCTACTCTAAAGGTAATGGATTTAAAATTGCACAACGTGTACAAGCAGTATAAAAAATATCAGCTCTTACTACGAAAGTGTAAACAACACAGAATAATAAGTATTAAAATGATTTTCTGAACTAAAAAGGGTTTGGGGACTTTAGAGGTGGTTAAATAATTGTATAAAAAAATTTTAAGTTCACAACTTCTGCCCTGGCCCATGGACTTATTTTTAAAGATAAAGTGAGATATTCTATCAGTTAATCAATTACTAAGAAACCTTAACTCAGTTTTCCATGTCGTTTTGCACAACCACCATTGTTATCTTTTCGGCTTCCTTGTTATTCATCTTCTTAAAGTACTTTTGCTGTACCTGTGGGACAAGTATAAACGTGAATGTACACATATATATGCCAGATCCCACTTATTTTATGAATAAAAACGTTGTAAACAAACACGAATCATACTCTGGAATAATATATAGCGTCGGTTTTTTTAGAATATGCATTCATCTTGACCATGGTGACGTGTCTATTTTTACTTTATCCAATCGTTTCATATTTATGTGTAAAAGTATCTATTAAACGATACATGGGAAGCAGTACGCACTTTATACACGTACTTATATATCACTTAAATATTACATTCAAGCTGAAAATTTGTAGTTGTAAGTTGTTAAAATAACTCCACATTAATCAGGCCTCTGAATATTAATTCTGAATCATTATTATTATATGTACTATACCATACATTAAACGAACATTTTGAATGTTTAAATTTTTCAATGTTATTTAATGTCTACTGTGTATATAAATAACGTCACTGTAATAATGTAAACACTAGCACAGATAATAAATACCTCTATTTACACACGTATGTATTGGGTGTGATGAGAAATTTTGCATGATTTGAATCAGGAATCACAATTATTCCTAGTGAAAACTTTAGTTTGAAATATTTCCTGACTGATAGAACTGTTTTAGCTCTATGAAGTAAATGTATTATCACGCTAGTCTTGAGTTTTCATCTCTTTACTCTATTCAAGTTTCTAACATACTTGAATTCTACAACTATTTGTAAGATTAATAGGGTAGGTTATAACAAATTGACATAGATTTAATGCAATTGCCTGGTTTAATGAGTTTAAATTAAAGTTACAGTAACATTATAACTCATAAGGATTGAATTCAAAATTCTAACCACTATTTTATGTCTTGTAAAAGCTTTATTTACTTAAGTATTTTGCAAATGAAACTGTTTTTGATCTCGTCTACCAAATAAAATACAATCTTTTTGTTACAGTCTATGAATGATATGCTTTAGCTTATTCAATTTAGGCAGCCTGATAATATTACCTTATTAAATATCTAATTATGTATTTTGTAAATGAATTGCATAATACATAAGTAATATTTATGACATTTTGACATAGAAATCAATTCGGAAATGATCACAATCGTTTATAACACAAATAAACTCAATGATATAATACATTTATCATTGATAAAACTAAATTTTTCACAGGTAAATATAATACAATTTCTGAATTTCAAATACTTTGTGAATCATCTTAAGCATATTGAGAAAAAGAAAACAATCTCATCATAGATGTGGATTATTATTATTTTTTTGTTTTATAAAAAGACGAATTTCATTTTGTCTCTAAGACGAAAAAAAACAAACTAAAATGTTAAGATTGATTTCCTGCTCTACCTTCCCCTACTTTTTTGTTTTATTCATCTTGTAAAATATAATTTTTAAATAAACCTTTTAATTAAATTATAATTATGATGATGATAATAATAATTAGAATTTATTTCTAAATTATTGTGTTAGATTTGAATGAGAAAACAAAAGATATTGCTAAATAATTAATAAGTAGCATTACGTCCTTGATTAGGCTTGTTGTGTTCATTGAGTACACATTCTAATTTTGTTACTCTCTATACAATGTGTTTGTACATGTGTGTGTGTGTGCGCACACGCACGGGCGTATGTGCTCATTTAGTCTACAAATAAATGTTGATATTGTTTCTCCATTCTTCTTATGAAAAACTGATGAATTTACGTCATTCCTGGAAACTGATAATATGAAATAATTACCATTTATATCATTCAATTCTAGTCATGTGATCGGTGTTTTTCATGATGAAAAACTTTATCCTAGAAAAAAAAGAGAAAAAAAAACTCTGAAATTCTTTCTTTGTTTCTAAGATGTAAAGAATTATTGAGAGTTAAACAATAGTTTAATAATTAGAAGAATGATATTTTCAAATATCAGATTGTTGTAGGTATTGATATTTGTTTAATGTTTTGGTTCTCTTTTTTTTTCATCCAGCTTGTCAGTTATGATCAATATAGAGTTAGGGAAAATTGTATATTAGTCTTAGCTGACATATCACGCCTATATGATGAGATAAAATTTGCATAATGAATAACAATAGAATCAAAATAATTGTCATAAAAATGATGATGAGAAAGATGATACATTTTGATTATGATTAGAGAAGATAAAATGGGTAGGTATATGTGGAGGAATATAAGATCAAAACTAAGTAGTCTAAATCTATCAACATAGCTCAGATTAATAGTCTACAAATTCATAGAATGATGCCGCTTCCTTGTTCGGCCGTCTTCGGCTTTCGTTCTACTTACTCGTACTTTATCAGACGGTGGTAGCTGGTGATTAGTCATATGTGGTACATGTTTCAACAACCTCAGTCTATGAATAATCACATCCCCGTCAACTGATTACCGATATTTACTTAATCATACTCGACACCCTATCTCAACATTGTTCGCTTGGTCATTCTACAATGCATTACAAGTGCTTCCAAAACACTGTTGACCAAAAGCTTACTGCATATACTTGTCTTCTATTTTTATAGATCATGCTTTATAGTATCTCTCATCATTATCTACAAAGATCTGTACATAGTATATATATATATAACATATTTCAACTAATGATTTTAAATGATTATTAAGAAGATTTAAGTAACATTTTGTGCAGGAAATAAAACATACACACACACACACTAAATTGCTCTTATTAGTTCGACTCCTTTAATTATTTCAGTTTATTTATTTTTTTGAAAAATTTCTTCCTTAATCTTAAACCTCATATCATGAATAAAGTTTGGAAAATTAAAATTAATTTTAAACTGAAGAGATTTCACAAAATCTTTTACATACTTACCTGCTTGCGCCAGTTACTCCTCGTGGATGAGCATGGGCCGCCCACAAGCATTCTCCATCTAACTCTGTCCTAGGTAATCCTTCCCAGGTCTTTACAGTTGCTATTTGTCCTTTTCAAAAAATCTCTATTAAGTAAAAATATTAATAAATCGTAAGCTCAATAGTCACTAACTTTAGGAAAAAGTTTTAGAAGTTCTTATTTCGAAACCATGACCGCTAGAGATCAATTATTTGAAGAGTGGGACAAATGTAATAATCGCTGAAAAATTCCCATTATATTAAAACAAAATTATATGAACGACGAATATTCTTTTCAATGTATTACTGATTGAATTGCATAATGTTACTAGTATATTGTTGATAGACTTTATAGGACTAATCGATACCGTCTCAGTGATTTAAAAGTATCATATTCATCATGAGAATTAATTCTCCTGATATCAGTCATGAAGGAATATTGTTTAGGAGTCCTAAACTTGATCAGAACAATTTTGTAATGCTTTTTTTGATTTTCAACATTATTCAAACTCTCTTTACAATCAATAGCC